TTTAACCTCTGTAGATACTTGATCGATATTTTGAGTAGTAGTTGATATTTGAATATGTATTATATTTTGATTATCTAAAGTTTTGTATGTAATACTTTATAAAATCTTTTCTTTAAATAAATATTTCGGTATAATAAAAATGATAGGTGAATATACCTGCCCATTCTATCATAATTCCGGTAAAGTTTGTGGAAGAAGCTGTATGCGAGTTGAAGGGTGTAGTTATCATTGGAAAGCTAAAAAACGTGTCCCTTGTAGTGATTGTGGGAAGCCTACTGGTTCTGCTAGTGGTCGATGTCCAGTGCATATCAGAGGTTATTATGTTACTCAATACTATAATAGACTTCGATCAAATATACGAGAAGGAACTTATGATGAAATATTGAATATACTTTTATCAAATGTACCAGAAAAAACTTATGAGGAAATAATGGATGTTTATGGAGACACACTTACAAATCTTAATATTACTCTTTGTAAAGAATGCTTACTTCTGATAAAAATAAAAGAGGAAGAATATTGTAATAGTTGTCTACCAGATCCAGTGCTATAGTAGATTACATGGTAGGACTTCAAAATTTGATTCTCGATAACTGAAAAAGTTAACCCAGAATTTGTGACCTTTGTTGAAATTTTGTTACCCTTATCGAAATTTTGTTACCCTTTGCAATATATAGTCACATTTTTGTTACCCTTTGCAATGTATGGTTATATTTTTTGTTATCTTTTGAGGTATATGGTCACATTTTTGTGGACCAGAAAAATAGTGAAGAATTGACTTTAGATTGAATTCTGCTATATTAATTAATATCGATATGCAATTTAAGCTTGATTCACGTCCGAGATGGAATCAGGATATTCATTAAATTCATATCCTTCACCACTTCTCTTGGACTTTTTAATGGCAAGCTGTATATCATAAATAATTGTTATTCTTTTTGATATGCATTTGGGTAAATGAATGTATTCTTGATATATAAAAATTAACATACTTTGATATGAAAATGTGGCGAAAAAAATAAATCACGCCACATACTTGAGGCGAAAAAATTAAATCATGCCACATACTTGGGGTGGTATAGTTGGCGACTTTCCTGTGTGGCGAAAAAAGCAAAATGATGTATAAAAATTAATATACTTGGTGATGTTTTTGGTGCGTAAAATATAGTAAGTTGACTAGTGTTGGACCAGAATACCCATTTTTATCCTACTACCCCTTCTCCACTCCCTGCAACTTTTCTTTTTGTTGGGTCTAGTTACTGTGGAAGCTTTTGACATAGAAAGCACTCCAAACTTGACTTTCTCAGCTTCCTTTACTTCCTTTACATTTGATCATCATTGCCATTAGTGGTTTCATCAACAAAAATCAATATATTATCATCAACTAAATTAATTATATTCTCCAGAAGATTTTACTGGACAAAACTAAGAGCATGAAACAAGACATACCGAGAAATCCCTTCCCATTTATCATACAATTCCTGAACCTTTTTCAGAAAAGTTCCAAGTTGATTGAAATTTTATATTACCTTTTCTGGGATGAACAGACTAGAATTTTTTTTTACACGAAATTGCATCTGTTCCAGGATATCCACGATATACCAAACTTCTTCTCTTTCTAAGTAATCTTTGAAATCGTAAATATTGTCTGTAGTATTACAGAAAACTTTTTCTTGCTGAAAAGAATTGGAGACTTGCCGTGTTGGTGATATATGACCATTCTATTTTGCTGTGCAAGTTGATAAAGTAGGTAATAAGGTTTTTCCATTTTCCGAAATTTTCGGTAATATGCCAACGTGAAATATTGACATTTCAAAAATGATCTTTGACAGATAGATTTAGCAGTCACAGGTGAACGAGGTGAATATGTTGAAATTAAAATCACCTTTTCCTAAAAGATAGGAAAACTAGTCTGTTACTGTTGTATTCTCCAAAGCATTCCAAATCTTTTCAAGATATTTATCATCATAGTTATCATCATTAATTTTTCTTCGTTTTGCTATAAATAAAATTTTAATTTTAAGAATTAAATATGAAAATATGGCTACCAAAAGTTAAGCCATGTTATTTTATTTATCGATTGAATCTCTGTGTAAGAATATACCATGCATAAAGATTAGAGACCTCAAGTAGTTGAGTCTAATGTTACCATTTGAGCTGTAAGAAGGGAAAGCTCCACATCAACTAATTTATTAGAATTATCAGTGAAATTTATCCTGTTCCTCTTCAGTATTTTTCTTTTCGTCCTCAAGGCGAAGAACCTCTTGAAAGCTATAAATTTATAAAACCAATGACATGTTGACCATAAATCTTCATCCTGATGTTTCGCACAAGCTATTAAATCATCACATGAAATATATCTTTCACCATAATCTATATTTTGGAATTTTTAATTTGTTATCTATATTATTTTTATGTCTTTTACCAATATAATCTTGAATATTTTATTACCGACTAGTAAATTAACTACCATTGATATTTTTTCAAATTCCGAGGCTCCAGCCACAATGGAAGACTTGGCAAGTAAAATTTTGCTTAATAGGTTCAGGTTATTTATTTATTTTCTTAAACTGCAATACTTCATTAGTATGTGATTTAATATAAACAAGAATTAAAAAACAATATAATGCTTAAAAAATTATCTTTAAGTGATGCAATAAAAATAGCTGAATCTTGTAAGGAAATTGTCTTTCCAAAGAATATATTAATAATAGAACCCCAATTCTCTGGAAATGCATAAAAGGACATGAATGGTTTGCTACTTTTAACAGTATAAAAAATGAAAAAAACATGGTGCCTACTTGTTCAGATACTAAAGAAGTGTCACATGACAAAAATGGTCGAATGTCTCTCAGAAAAATATATCAATAATAAATCATCTTTATTATGGTGCTCTAATAAAGGACATGAATGGTATTCAACACTTGATAGTATAAAAAATAGGCACGGGTGATGTCCAGATTGTGCACGTAAAAGATTACTTACTCTTGAAATTGCTAAGCAAATTACATATACTAGAAACGGAAAATGTATTTCTGAAAAATATATTAATAATAATTTACTTTTCTTATGGGAATATGAAAATGGGCATAAATTTTGTACGTCATTTGCTCATGTTAAAAATGAAGGTATTTGGTGTTCTGAATGTAGAAAGCTTGGACTTGAATTTGCTCAAAATCTTGACAAATAAAAAGGCGGAATTTGTCTTTCTAATTCTTATTATAATAAACGTACTCCATTATTTTGGAATTGTTCTAAAGGTCATTCATGGTATGTATTAATTCATTCAATAAGAAGGAGGTAATTGGTGTTCACATTGCCAATAAAATGCATTTTCTTTGGAGATGTAATTTGGTATAGCTCTCTTGGTAGTATAAAAAAATAGCAATACATGATATCCCTACTGCTCAAAATATAAAAGGGAAAATTTGTGTCGCGAGATTAAATAAAACGTTGGCTCAAGGTTAAGAAAAATTCACAAAATAAATGTACAATTCAAAAGTTTATTGATATAGTAAAAAAAAAATTTTTTCCGAGTATACATTGCTAAAATAATTTCCCAATCAGTAAATGTTATATTAATTATTTTATGCGGATTATTTACAAAGTAGCATGAAGTTTATGTAATGCGTAACTAAAAATTGACAATGCAAATATAAATACATGAAGAAACTTCTATTCAATCTATTTACGTTTCTTAATATTCTTAGTAGCAGGTGAATCATCTACATTACTTCACAATTACCTCCATACCTTTTTTTACATCTTGACGAAGTTATGCATCATCCTCTAAAATTTTTTCAGTAATTGGAATGTAATAGAAGTCTTTCGTACAATAAGTCTTTTCAGGCGTATACATGATGAAATGCCATTCCATAGCTAAAGATTGAGATCATAAGTTATCATTAATTTTATTAATTTTTTATCTATATCATACTTTGTGAAGTAATCTTTCCTTCATGACATACAGGTACTAACAATTCCATAGAGGTAGTCAAATTTAAAACTTCAGATGCTTTTCGTTTTCTCTTGTTTGTGTGGTATCCGCTATCAAGTTGCATGATATTTTGTATATATCCCTTGAACAAATCACTCTGATTCCCTCAGTAATGCAAATAAATTCTTCATGTTTGGCTTCGAGAACTTCTTTGATTTTTTTGATAGTGTAGTCAACTCGACCTGTTTTGCTTCTTCACCCACGACTTCTAGCTGACGTTTTAGGACGATTGTTTCTTCGGTGAATCTTCTGGCATATAAAGGCTCGCAGAAATGTACTCGCAACGCAAGGCTTCATTACTGCCTACTGCTGTGCCTAAGTTTCCCATAAGTCTTCGAGTTTCTCCGTTTCTATAAAGAGATATATAGGCTAACCATTCCATGAGATTCGGAAAAAACAATATACCAACAAACAGCTGACCTGGATTGAATGTCGGGATATCATCTATTTCTTTGCCATCAATTCAATACCTCTTCAAAATGTTTCAACTTTTTATGCGATGAATATGGCTTCAATTTTTTCTTTTTTAATCTTCTTAATAAAGTCCACAAGAACCGTCGCAGGTTCACCCTTCACACCATAATCTTTAAACTTCTGTTCGGTCTTATTAAGGAAAGCGCGACCGGTGATTCTCTCATTTCGGATAATATCATAATCTTCATTGATGTCATTGATGAGTTGCAGGTCTTCTTCCTCCCCACGCAAAAATTCGATAAGTTCATCTGTTTTATACTTTCGAACCATCTCAGCTAACGTGAGTGGTTTTCCTCACTTACCGTAGAAGTATAAGCTATTTCAGACATGATGCTTTTATAGGTTATACAAATATGCGGTAAAGTTACTGGATCGCTGTTGTTTGTTGTTTGAAGAAATCTGTCCCACAAAACTGGCGTAAAAAGGTAAAGTTACACAAACTCATGCAAAAGATCATGATTTGATCGTACGACACAAAAATAGGCGATTTAATGAAATTGGATCATACAATACAAAATCAAATTTGATCATGTCTACATCTACGGCATCTACGGTACGAAAGTTAATACGGATGAACTTTGCGATTCCAGCTTTTTACCTTTCGCACATTTCTAAATAGATACATGAATATTTCGAACGAAAGGCTTCAGAATGGAATATTATTGATTTCCTTGAAGAATGTGATTTGGAACCTTATACGAAAAAGATAGAGGAATATCTTAAATGCCTTGAAACAATTGTTAATACGGAGAAAGATCAAAGACATGAGAAAGCTCAGGAATTGCTCGATAATTATAAACAGGCAAGTTTGATGAATAAGTGACCTTCGAGATTGCCTGATGTTTAAAGTCTCCAAGACTACTTGACACTGAGATTGTCAGAAGTTAGTTAAGGATACTATTAATTCTCTAAATTTTTCATTTTAGGGTACTCACCCTGATAAAAAAAAAGCAAAAGAATGGAATAATGAACGTTCGCGTAAGCAGATTTATCTCCATCAACCAACTATAAAGCATTCACATAAGCAATTTCATTTCCATCAGCCAACTATAAATATGACTATGAACGGGATGACAAATGGTGTAAATGGGACTATAAATGGTGGAGAATTCAATGTAAGACTTCCGCTAAAGAAGGACAATCAGGAAGAGAAAGATATGTAATTTTTTTTTTTTAGCTGAAACTATTATTTTGTTCCAAATAAATTACAATTTTAATCCTTAGGACTAGTTGTCCAAGATATTTCGTTAATTGATAGTACTTTACAGATAAAAAAATCATACGAGTTATAAATTATTTTTATCACAAATGCAGGATAACTTATAAGTTTTTTTTAATCAATTTAATAAATTTAATAATATTTAAAACATTAGATCTATAAAATTATATAAAGTTATATATATGTGTGGAAATAAAACCTAAAAAGAAAATTCATCTACTATTATTATTTATTATTTATTATTTATTATTATTTATTAAAATTAAGATTTTTTTTTGTGCAAATGGTTCTAATAAATAAAATTGGGTAAAAATAATCAATTTGATAACATTTAAATAATGATCCAAGATGTATAAGATGTTTTTACAATAAATATTAATTTGATAATTTGTTGCAAAGTTAATTCATTATTTCAGCCATTTAATGGTTTTATGATTCATGAAAGATGAATATTCTTTCTCCAATATTTCTTCACCAGCCACATTCCTTAATATTGATCCTTGAAATTTGATAATCAAAATATTGGGATCATGAAGATCACCAATGAAAATATTTTCTTTGTGCAATTTGTCAATAGCTTTTGAAAATTGATCACACTTAAGTGATTTTCAATTTAGCCTTATATGTAAATTTTATAATTGTAAAAAATTTGGAGGTATTTCTAATGATCCATACTCTTAATTTATTGACTCCCAAATTAAAAATTCGTGTCACAACATTTCTCAACATAAACAACATAAAAGATTTGAACATTTCCTTCATTCCTTATTACTTTCTTGAATATAATTTTTTGCATAAGCAAGCTTCAACAGTTGAATCAAAGTGGCCAGTGCCAATCTCATTTTTTTTCAACGAGGAGTAATGCATGATTTTTATTAACAACACATTCAAATATTAAGAATAATCATCAAGCTGAATTATTCTTTAAAAATTCACCAAATAAACCACATTATAATGGCTATTTTCAGTCTTGTATATTTTTAACATTTGATAAATGAAGTCTAATGTCCATTCATAGTAGTTTTTTTTTTACATTTCAAGTTTGTTGTTATAGTATAATCACACAGAGGACGATAAATAAGTAACTCTTAATCTTTTTGATATTTAATAAAATTAGAAACTCTAGCGTAAGTTGAGAAACAATGAGTTCTACAGGATTAAGCACATTCTATACAGCTAACCTTCTAAATAGTCATACAAGCTGGTATAATTACACTTAGAAGGTGATGGAGCCTGCATTGTAAAACATTATTTGTGATATAAAAGGCATACTCTGAACAAATTCATATTCTTACCAGGTTAAAAGCCTCGTTCGTGTGTCTACGCAGAAACATTAGGAAGCAAAAAAAAAAATAATAACGATCCATTTGGATACGACTTGGTACTATGGTTATGGTCCCTTTACTAAATTTTTTTATTTTCATTTTCAAATATTCCGGACTATAAGAATTACAAAAATAAATATCTGCTACGCGTTCTAATTATGACTTAATAAAAATAATAGCTGCTACGTAAACACTATTTATTACTATTTATAAAATATATAATTTTAAGCAAACAAATATTATGACATTTTTTTTTTATGATGGCTAAGCAAACCCTATTTATCATATACACTCACTGGTAAAAAGTATAGAGACACCTGACAATTTTTAAAAATAAATCATTTTAGTTATTCTATAT